CGGCGGCAGCCATGACGATCTTGCCGACTTGAGGGCTCCCTGGGTGTGGAAGGAAACCAGAGTGGGCCTAGGTCACTTGAATCAGGGGGGATGGCCTCAGGGTTGGGGCTGGGGCCTCTCCAGGGGGGTTCACTCCCTGCCCACCAGGTGGGCGTCACCCTCACCTGGCCTCTCCTGGCTAATTGCTGCTGCACCAGGACCTTCCACGTGTCATCCCCCAAGACCAGCCCCACACAGGGAGGATCCCGCGGAGCTCCGCACACAGCTGCAGGCCAGGCCCCGGCTCCCTCTCCTGACCGCCTGGCTGGAGACCCAGGAGCCCCAGCCTCCTACCCTGTCTTCCGGCTTCTAATCAGGGCTCAGTCCTGCAGGCGACTCTTTGTAACATACCGCTCAGTACCCCTCCCCTCCACTCGCCTCTGAAAGCGACTCCTATCGCCCAAGGCCAGAGTCCCTCTCTGGCTGGGTGACATTTGGATCTCTCTTGCTGACATAACCTTGCAGCCCTGCCACCTGCTGAGGACCCTGCCCCTCTGATCCTACAGTCGCCTTCCCTGCTGGCAAGGTGGCGGCCAGCAGGCCTTGTGCTGGGTTCACGGCAGGGTCTGGGGAGGAGAAAGGCAGGGATGGCATGTCCCCTGCTCTGACGTGGACGAGGTGTGCAACGCAGGAGACAGGTCAACAGAAGGGCTCAGCGCTGCTGTCTGCCGTCTCTGCTCCTCTCCCCTCGAGGGCCTGGCCAGGTAGAGTGGCCGTCTGCCTCCTCCACCCTTTCATCTCCTCTGGAAACTCCATCCCGGTCACTTAAAGCTAGGTGGTGTCTGGGCCACATGGGCACATGCCAGGGTGATGACAGGTGACCTCTGAGACCCCTTCTGACCAAGGGCCTGGGAGCGAAATCCAGCCTGCCCCAATCCTGGCTAGAGGGGTGGGCACTACGTCTCTGTCACTTGAGCTTCCGAACTCCCATCTGTGCAGCCTTCCGGAAGGGCTGTGGGATTGTGTATAGGGTTGTGGGGCAGTGGGGTGGCGAATGAGGTCCTGGCACAGTGTGGACTCAGCAAGGGCAGATGCTATGATATGTGAGATTGTGATTGGTGGGATGGAACCTAGCCTTCCCGAGGGTCCCCAGGGAACTGGGGCTGCTCCCCAGGCTGCTTGAGAAGAGTGGAGTGGAGGGTGCTGGCCCTGGGTCCTGAGAGCACCGCCCGGTGTCCCCCTTGGCTGGCTGGCTGGTGGCCTTTCTCAGAATTGGGGACAAGACCCCTGAAGGTGGGGCTTGGCTCAGGCCTCTCACCCCTCCCATCCCACATGCCCCCCAAAACCAGCCACCCGCAGCCGGCTCCTCACCTGTGAAGAAGATGTAGTCGAACTTGTGCTCCAGCAGCTGCCCCATCTCCTGGGGCCCGCCCAACACCACGGCAAAGCAGCTCTGCAAGGTAGATGGCAGGGGAGGGCTCCCTCTGGACCCCAGCCTGAGAGCCCAGCGTGCGGCCTGCCTGCCTGTCTGCCTGCCAGGCCTCCAGGTTGCATGGGCAGAGGTGGGGAATGGGGTTGGGTTTGGGGCTGAGTTCAGGGCTGGGCCTGGAGGGCTGGCCAGAGACAGACAGGGGCCCCCTGGGAACAGGCTCCACTCCTCTGTTTTACTCAGAGGGAAACAGGCTGAGAGGGGCGGTGACCTGGCCAAGGCCACACAACCCAGAGGAGGCAGGACTGAGGTTGGAACTCAGGGCCTGCTCGAAGGACCATGCCAAGGGCTGCCCGGCCCAGGGGGCCTGCCTGGCCCTGCTCAGCCCTGTGTAGCTGCTTGGTCTGTGCCTGGCCCTGCTCACCTGGTCCAGGTATCGGGGCAGCACCTCGGCCAGGACCTTCTCCGTGCTCTTGCTGACTTCCGAGGGCTTCAGCACCACGCAGTTCCCTGCGGGACCAGGTGGGGCAAGAGCTGGGACAGGTGTAGCTAGTACCGCCTCCACCCAGTCCTCACACCTGCAGAGCAGGTGCTAGCCTCACTCCACCTTCAGGCCCCAAGGTCACACAGCCCAGGGGCAGTGGGCCAGATGGGAGCCAGGCCTTCTCACCCGTGCTCCCTGGCTCTGGGGGGCTGTGAGCCCTCGAGGCTAGGGGGACAGGCAGGGGTGGAAAGGTGGAGGCTCCCTCTCACCTGCGGCGAGGGCGCCCACCAGGGGCACCAGGGTCAGGTTCACGGGGTAGTTCCAGGGGGCGACGATGAGCACCAGGCCGAAGGGCTCCTTTCGGATGAAGGCCGAGTCCAGCTGCGTGGCCTGGGCCGGGGCCAGTGCGGTGGTGAACGGTGAGGTGACAAGACCCCCAGCCACTCAGCGCCACCCGCCACCCAGAGAGGCTGCCTGCTGCCCTGAGTCCCAGGCCTGCTCACCAGGTTCTTGGACACTTTCTCATCCTTCATCCAGGCCCGCAGGTTCCTAAGGGCCGAGTCAATCTCGCTCTGGCTGATGCTGATCTCAGATACCTCAGACTCGAAGACTGACTGCAGGGGAGGCGGACGGGCAGGGCAGGGCTCAGAGACCCAGGCTCAGCACGTGGCCAGAGCCCTGGGGAAGGCATAGCCTCCTCCAGGCAAGGCCTGTCTTATTCACTCGTTCATTCACTCCACGTTTACTGAGTGCTTCCAGTGCTCATGTGCCATTCTTGGGCTGGGACAGAAAACCTGCCCCGTGGAGCTGATGTAGGGGGGACAGTTAACATGATAGTGAGAACACTGACTACTGGATTGGGACGTGACGAGTGCAGTGGGAAGATGAAACAGACTAAGGGGAATAGAGACTGCTGGAGTGTGTGTGTGCATGTGTGTGAACACACGTGTGTATGCATGTGTGCACATATGTGTGTCTTTGCTCCATTTTATACAAGATGGTCAGTGCTAGCATCTGGGATGGGGTGACATTTGAGCAGTGAAGAAACAGAGGGAGAGAGCCCGTGGATACTTGGAGGCAGAATATTCAGGGCAGATGGAATGGCATGTGCAAAGGCCCTGAGGTGGATGCAGGCTTGCTATGTTTCTGATTAACACAGAGAAGAGTGGGTGAAGTGATGGGGCCCGGCAGCCAGGGTGAGGACTGTTGAGCAGAGCAGGGACAGGATCTAACTTAAGTTTTAACAGGACTGTCTATGTGGCCTGCTGTGGCCTGCTGTGTGGCTATCAGTCTGTTGGGGACACTGAGGACAGGTGTCACTGGGTAAATGCCATCAATTCCCATAGCCTTGGGATTTCAAGGGCAGGAGTGAGAAAGAGGCAAAAATCAATAGGGACATTGTCCTGATTTCTGATGGCCTGGCCAACATGCTGGCCCTGCCCCCACGCCCCTACGAGGGAGGAGAGACCCAGCCTGTGAACTGCAGGCAGCTGGAGGCCCATGGCCTGAGACACCAGGGCCAGGCTGTCCTGATGCCTGAGACCCAGTCATTATAGTGCAAGCTCTTCCTGCTAGAGGAGAGGACGATGGGCCCAGGGTTGCCCAAGCTGAGCCCTGGCTGGGGAGGGCCTGGGGACCTTGGGGGAAGAAGCCACAGCCACTAGCGCCTCTAGGAGCTGAGCCTGCTCCGGGCTTGCCTTCTACTGTGCCTGTGTCCACAGCCTACACTCCTGCCCAGCCAGGTCTCCTGTGACCTGAGTGAGGTTTAGGCCTGGTTAAGGGACGATCTGGACCCCACTGAGTGCCATGAGTTTGGAAGAGTAGGCTGTTTTGAGCCAGGGCTGTTTTGAGCCAGGGCTGTGTACCCAGAGACAAGAATGTGCCCTCTCTGAGACTCCTCTGGGGGTGACTGGGTGTGACCACTGCCACCTGGAAGGGCTGGTGGGGGTTAAGTGACAGGGTTCTTGCCTGTCAGGCAGGGCAGTTGCTGAGACCAGAGGGAGGGACCAGAGCAGAGAGAGGGACTGGATTGGATTTTCTGGGCTGCTGCTCCCTTTGTGGGGCCCAGCCTCCTTGCTCTTTGAGGGTTGGGAGGCAGGAAGTGGAACCTGAGCCGGAGGGAGAAAAGGGACCAGATAAACAGTGGGGTCAGATGTCATAGAGGCCAGCAAACCAGGCCAGCTGCTGGGTGGGACAGAGGCTCACTGGGGGTGCCAGTCCCCAGGGAGCCCAATGAGAGCAGGGGTAGGAGGTGTGAGCCTCCTTTGTCCTGGACCAAGCCCAGTGAATGGGCACTCCCCACAGGGAGGCAAATCCAGGCCCCTTAGGTGCGGGAGAGCCAGGCAGAGTATGGTCTGGCATCCTGGTTTCATAAAGGGACAACAGATGATTCCAGAAATGGCTGATGAGGGAGTCTGGTCTCCCCTGGAGCTACAGTCCTGGAGCATGGTGGTAAATTGAAGGTTTGAGGATGCTGAGAAAGGGAGTAGGTGTCAGCAGGAGACCATGTCCTCAGGACAAGTCCTTGTGGGCAGCTTTTGCTGTCCCCATAGAACGGGGTTCCCTGATCCGTGACCCCAGAGGCCATGAGACACTAATCTCAAAGTCCATGACTGCTCTCGGGACAGGTGGACACTTGGAGGGGACCTGCAAATCCGATGGATCCCAAGTTGGTTGCAGAGGGACTCCCAGGCCTGCCAGTGCCATCAGCTCTGTCAGGACCTGGGTGGAGCCAGCGGGCCCACTGGAAGGGCAGGGGAAAGAAGTATATTTCTTGGGGTCCTGCCATAGCTGCTGCTGGAAATGGGAGGGGTTGAGCCCCCAGGCCTCCAGGGTTTGGACAGAGGCCATGATGCCCACAGTACCTAGTAAAGCGGAAGTCCTCCACACACATGAAACCCTAGTGGTGTGCTTCACCTCCCTGGACCACAACTTTTGTTTATCTCTGCCTCCTCAACTCCCCTCCAGCCACACTGGCCTCCTTGCTGCTCCTCAAGCACAAACATGCCAAGCACCTCCTGCCTCAGGGCCTTTGCACATTCTGTGCCTGCTGTCATTTTCCCCATTGTCTCCTTCGCCCTCCTTCTTCATGTCTCTGCTCAAATGCCACCATCTCAGAGAAACTTTTCCTGACCCCCACACATAAAGCACCCTGATCCTGGCCCTCTCTCACCACCTTCATACCAGGAGTGTCTCTCCACAGCATTTATTACCACCCAACATGCGCTGTAATTATATATTTACTGTCGAATTGTGCCTCTCCCCAGAAGGCCAGCTCCCTGGGCAC